TTTAATGTGGTGCATGTGACTCGTGATTTTCAGAGCAGATAAGAACCTGATAATTGCTAGAAACAGTCAGGCTATTAATCATTTAATAAAATGGAAACATTTCACGCTATATCTAATGCTTTGTCTCATCAATCTCGTGTGCGAGCATCCGATATATGTTTCGAATGTTTTGTTTCAATTATGCAAATTGTTATAATTTCACTACATTTTTCCGCAATTTAATGAATGTTAAACACATTAATAACTGCCTACTCTGTAGATGCTAATATAAATTCTATCATGTAAATTGTCAATCTCGCGTACACTTTAATCACATCACTTTCTTATGCGGTAAATGATGCAATAACACAATCTCCGTTTTATTTTAATAATTCAATAATGTATAGCTTTACAGAAAAACGTTTTTCTCTGTCACTTTAAATTCTATTGAAGAAGTGCAAAAGTAATTGAACCTAAATATTAAATCAGTTAAGCAACACCGTCGTCCTTATTATGTTAAAATATTGTAATATCCTTATCAAATTAATCTTAAGACAAAACAACTGCAAGAGCACAATGTGTAAAAATATTTTTGGACCCATATACCTACATACGTAAATGAGTACATTAAACGCAATGAGAAGAAGATATTATCACATTGTAAGGATCATTTAAAGCTGCCGGGTTATTAGCAACCCGCATGTTTGCTGGGCGTAACTAAAAAAAAATCCCATCAAGATCATCTACGATCGGTCAATCTTTTCACGTAGATTTCTACGCGAATACACGCAGATTTCTAATTTCTTATCCTGCGGACAGGATGCTCAATAAGATGCTCATTTACGTCGTGGTTAGAGCAATGTGCAATATTCTATTGTGCACTTAAGCGGAACCACGTGCTTCGAGTACTTCAGATAGCTCAGATAAATATGCAGCAGATTGTAAAATGTAGTGCAGTTTGTGATGCTCTGTTATGAGTGTGGGATCATGCTTTAACAAGAAAAGCAATCGATAATCTAAAAATGGTGTAATAAAACTGAAAAGTGACTCCTTTTCCGGATATCTCTATAGCGGATGTTATTTTAATCACAAATATATATAAAACTGAACTAAAAATAACAGTGATTTATTTTAAGTTATAAATAAGATGATTTGACACAATGAATATATCAAATAAATATGTGTTTTTCAATTAATTTGAAAATAAGCTTCTGAGAGACACTAAAGAAATGCTGTTTTTAAAATGAAATTTTGCAAATAATTACAATCAGATAAGATTATTGAACAACTTACTATATTAATTTGTAAATGTAAAATATCTTAGAGTTATTTAGTATAAGAGAATAAAAAATTATTGAGAGATGCAAAAGTACATATGAACATTTGATCGTAGAGATTTGAAAATTAGATCAAACGTTTATAAGCCGATTTCCTTGAGATAAGAACATAAGAGGTAAATCAAATCATGCTACGATCTTACACGACGATTCGAGACACGAAACGTTTCCAACGTGAAGACGATTCACAGAGTTCTCTTTGGCCCGGATATCTGCGTGGCGTAACTTTAAAAGAATCGTGTTCATCGCAAAACAACGTCGATACATCGTTTTCTGCAAGACCATTTCCGCCCCTATAGGGGCGTTATAACGCGCTTATTCGCACGACGGCCTCCACTCCCTTTCTCTTATACGCGATGAGAACACCCGCAGAAATCTTCTTCTTATCTAGTATGACCGTGTCTACTCATCGTATATACCGTTCTGCGATATAACGTGACACATATATCGGTACTGACAATTTGGATCATAGTGTTTACCGCAAGCGTATATATCGCTGGCTCACCGGTCGGAGCTCATTTTACACGGACTGCCGATTTTCCCGGCAACTGAAGCGTGCCCGGCGTGGTATCCACTGCGTCCGGTCAGTTTGTCGTCGAACACTGGATCAACAGCGAATCAGTTAGTTCGCGGTTGTTCGTTGCACCGTTCATTCCTTCTGTCTACATTGTCCATACTCAGTTGACTTCCTCTCTCTCTCTATATATATATATATATATATATATGTCGTTTCTATAAATCCAATTTTAAAATCCTGCATATTAAACAGAACGAACGTAACCAAAGGTGAGCACGAGCAACGAAAAAGGCATGTCGTGACGGTCGCAGCGTTCATCTTTCGTGACTCGTCGTTGATTCTAGAAAAAGACAGTGCACACACTTTGTCATCCATTCGGATGTTTTTGCTATTCGAGGAAACATTCGTCGGGTACTCCGTGACCTAGGAAAATCAATCAGTGCGCGATGACGTCTTGACAATGAAATAAAGTGAGATAGGCGAAAGAGTGAGATTGTAGACGAAACCGCGTGCAGATATCACCAGTGGGTTTCCAACGAGAGCAGCTCATTCTTCATGAATGCGAGAAAAGATGCTGTTAAGAGTTAATTTGGTCGCGGTTCTGCTGGCCTTAAATTGCGTCAGTCGTGCGAGTGAGTATTCGAAATCGACGCTAGAGAAATGGCAGAAAGAACAGAGAGCCGCAACTTCCGGTGAGAAGAAGATCCTCAGGTATACATATGATAATGTCACCTTCGAGAATCCTATTTCTTCGTTTAATGATCGCAAGATCGCCAGAGACAAAGTAGCCAAGATCCATCGTTCAATTGATGAAGACTTCTATAATGCACATTCTAAGATTGAAGTGAAGGAACGAGGTAAATCAAAAGCAGCCTTATAATGCTTAATGACAGAAATGCTTTTATCTTGTAATTCAAGCGCTATAAAACACTGACGTAAAAAGATAGCAGCAAATGTTATGTTTGAATTGTCTTTCTGATGAAGTATGATTAACAGTACCGTTATATAACGGTTTTTCTCTAATGTTATAATGATTTTCATTATTGAAATGGAATATATCGAACATTTACGTCGATACTCTAAAATTTTATAATTTTTACTCTAAAATGCTAACAAGTGAAATAATTAATATATCAATGAGTTAATTTCTCAATTGTAATAAATTTTTCAAATACTATGTATATGTATATCTAGAATTTTTTAGTCACATTAATGATTGGTATTGTACTCCACTTATATGTTGTACTCCACTTACTTGATTACGTGATCTTGTAACATACGTGAAATTATTTTCATATTTAGAATAGTATTTATAAAGTTACCATAACATTGTTAAATAAAATTTCAGAATTTCCGTTATTTCAAATTTAAATAATTGAAAATATGTTCAAGATTTTAATCGTATTGTTCGTGATAATTTTCAGATGAAGCACGACGTAAGAAACGAAAAGTTGGCCGTACTATGTTGGCGTTGCTGATGGCGTATAAACTCAAATTTGTCGCTCTGATACCAACGATACTTGGAGGTTTGATTCTTCTCAAAGGAACGACGCTACTTGCTGGATTCTTCTTTGCCTTGTTTGCTGCCGTTCTCGGACTGAAGGTCCACTGACAACGAAATCAGGATCTTTAGAAGGAGCGCACCAAGAATATACTAAGAAGTGAGAATGACATACGACTTTATTTTTCGTAATAATTTACAATCAGGTTAGACTTGTATAACTAATCGCCGTTATCTTTGAGAAAATATTGAACGCCTGTGTGCACAAAGTAACATTTAAGCCGAATTTATAATCGCTTCTCGGAGTCAAACGTATACATTTCGTATACACTTCGTAAAAAACGCGTTGCGTCGAGTGTAACACATTAACTTAAATTATTTTTTATCGTTTAGACACTACAAATCGGAAAAACGTTACGCGAAACAATCCGCATGTATTACGATCATTACGAAATAAATGTTACGTTTCTTAAAATGTAATATATTTATATAAATTAATCATTATAATAAATGTTGACAGATGATGGAATTAGTATTTCTTATTCGCTACATTTTAACACTCAAGTATTTTAATCGTTACGCTTACTCTACTGAACACAAGATTTTAGTAACGTAAATATTGATGGATACTCATGTAAGTACTTGTCGCAAACTACATATTCAAGAAACTCTTTCTCTCTCTCTAAGATTATTTTATAAATCTAAAATAAATAAGTACTTTCTGTCTACCTTGGTGTGTGAGGTACTAAATAAATAAATAAATATAAATATCGCAAGTGTACTGAGAAACGACTGCAAATTCGGCTAATCAAAGAATGAACTCTGTCATCTTTTCATTTATTTTGATTTATTATGATTTTATCTTTCATTTATGATTTATTATCTTTTCATTTATTTTGATTTTGATTTATCTCGAGATTGATCGCGTTTCGATAGTCGACAAAAACTTCAAACCGTTATAGAAATTTCCGAACGTGAAAATTACTCTCTCACTATCACATTTCGTTAGATTGTTTACTTTAATTGCAATTAACAGTTGAAATGTAAATACTTGTCGTTATACCACTTTTTTCTTTTACATTTTTTGACAGTTATTTACACTCCAGCTAAGCATTTTTACAGCTTATACATTCTTGCTTTACAGAAAATTGTCAAAATAGCTTCTTCGCGGTCACTTTTTCGCTCCAAATGTATATAGTAACAAAACAATATATTGTATCATCGCATTAAGTATTTACGTTATTTACAATTATAATTTAGAAGAAATTACGATGCGAATTATTATCATATCGATGATCATTCAAAAAGCGATCAGACATGTAAAAATTTACACCGAATAAGACAGCTCGCCCATTCGAATATATTTTCTACTTTAGTTTTTTTGCATTTTTTACATTTTTGTTTATATTTCTTTTTACTTCAACATTAATATCACTGATATATTCCATCTTTACACTCTACCATCTTTTCATCGTATCTTATGCAGTACGCATAAATACGACGTTTTATAAATGATAAAATTTGTTTGAAAACATAAATAAGCGAATCTATTTCGATGTTTCGAACTGTCTCTGAAATCGCATATTATTTGCTCCTTTGGATACAGGCGTTGCTTCCTCCCAATACCTGAAGATTTTCCATTGTTTCTTACTGCTGCGGATACTGTTTAACGCGCCTGCCGCGCGCTGTAAGCTAAAGTTTGAGCGTATTCGCGATCGGCTTCCGTCATTGATGGTACAGGTGCGCCTACGACTGCCTTCAGACTTCTGTCCCATCCACCTCCGCCTTGCTGCCAGCCGCCGTGATCGTGACCTCCCTGCTTTTGGCTTAGTAGTTTCTTCAAACCGATGATCAGCGACAGGACTAAAGCGATCTTGCTGATGATCAAAGCTTTGCCTGCCAACAGGAAGAGCACTCCCATAGCAATGGGAACTAACGCGGCGAGTTTCATCGCCATTCCCATCATCATCATGCCCATCATCTTCTTCATTTTCCCACGACCCTCCTCAATACTTCGTTTCAATTCGCCAGAATTTGTCTTTGGTAAACTGATCTGCACGTTGAAACTGTTCATTAACGTGGCTACGCGCTCGAACAGAATATCGTTGAGCATTTCGTCCATGGCCCCGCCGTTAGTTCTAGCCAGAGTCTTCTCCAGGTCGGGAACCGTGTTTTTCGAGCTATCATCCGTCGCAGAAGCGACTCGGACCAGCTCGAGATTGTCGCTGAGCGGTAAAGTCTGTATACGACCGAGTCTCTCGAAGAAAGCGATCGCCTTCTTCTTCAAACACGGTGACACGGCCATATTGCGATGTTCGCACTCCTCGTAGACACGATAAAGAGCACGGTATCCTCGTTCAAGGAATCCGCCGTCCTCATCGGCGTGAATAGCACAGCAGACTAACAACAGCAGCACGCACTTTGATATAATCATAATCGGCGACATGTTGGACTCTCGGATGGCTTTCCAACTCGCAAATGCTTGGCTGGACAATTTGGGATCGAATCACACAGACACCTCGTATCGTCGAAATCACGCGAGAGACACGCGACTCGAAATTCGAAGTCGGATATATGAATAGTTGCGCGCGCACCCACGAGCTAAATGATCCTCGACTAGAGAGAACTGGCATCAGGACGAAGTCTTCGAGCAGATATATACCAGCGAGTTGCCATCCTTCACGAAGGGGATGAGGTATCTCTCTCGTATAAACGGATGGATATGCCGGTGCATGTGACGACACGACCTCACTTGTATGAGTGGATAATCCTCTTCTTTCTTCTCCCCATCGCGAACCCCTCTCGTCCTTGCATCCTCCTCTTTCTCTTTCAGCTCGCTAGACAGCTGCCATTGCGGCGGGACGGGGCCGAGGTAAAAATTCTCATAGTAGTAGCGCGCCAAGAGCATGTGACCCTTCCTGACACAGAGACCCACTCGCGCGTCTCGAGATCGAGACACTGCTGTTCAACGCGATTCGCTGCCACGCGATTCGTTCATTAAATTTCGCCGTGGCGGTTACGTACTTGGAAGTACTATGTGTGTGTCTTCCGCATCATTTTAGTGTGCGGCCTCATCATGATTCGCATCTTGCGCGGGAGGAGAGGCAAGCCTGTGTTGAGATGAGACCACCAGAGGGGAGCGCCGTGGACTCGCTGCATTGGCGCAGAGTATCTGGCACCGTGATCTCGCTGACCCCTAGCATAACGTGAGGATGCTAGAAACTGGTTCCAGGTTACGGACAGCCCGTAACCTTCCTATCGTACGATTTTTCTGCAGCGCGGAATGAGCGAGGATTATCGACACGGATGATCTACTTTCCCTGCATTTTGGTGTATCATTCTCATCATGTTATGTCCCGTATAGATTGTGGATGATATTTTGTATTTATATACGCAACGACATTCGTTGCGAAGCGTTTCTCATTTTTTAAAAATCTTTTTCCATAGTGTGTTGATTTGGATATAAATTAATATGGATATAAATCATATCATTTAATATACATATGAAGAACGTAAAATATATCTACGAAATTATCTTTACCATTTCTATTCTTTCAGCGGTCGAGGTATGACGTTGAAGAAGAGATTTCATTTTGTTCCAGATTTATTGACACTGAAATACGTAAAGCAAGACGAACAAAACAGTAACGCGCTTTGTGATTACATTATGTGATACTGCTTTATTGCGCAATACAACTTATGACTGCATAGCGCCTCACTCTTGCACAAATTGCATTTTGATTACGTACACAGTGCATCCCCCATATATATATATATACCAGCTGTCGTTCATTTTTGGTGTAATAGCCATGAAATGGAGATTACCAGTAGATGAATGAACATTATAAATGTGGAATGTTTTGCAACCTTATGGCGTATAATTAGCTCAATTACTAGCAATGTTTCGACACACATATGCACTCCATTTACTGATTAGTGCATTTATTACATTAACGCATTCGTTATTAGAATATTTTATATCTATGTATTACTACTAAAAGATATTAGATAGATAATCCTTTTATGCAGTTAAATATTTAATTAAAACAAAGAGCAAGATTTTAGAATTCAACACGACAGCTACATTTTTTATATAAATTATTATTATAAATTTATTAATTATTATTATAATTTTATGGAACGAACGTCTTTTATTTTTTTTAAGGAATTGCCATAGACTGCACATGGAAGATAAAAGAAAATCCGCACCTTTCGTGTACGAAATTGTAGCACTTAGCCTCGAAAGAATTAATGGCGTGTGCAGACTCACACGTGGAAATATCTGGCCCAGTGTATTCTGTTTTCTTCTTGTATATCACGGTTTGTTAGGAGCGTGAAGCTGAGCGCATGGCGCATCCTCGACACACTCGATCGAGGTTAGCGCATCTCTAATGCGACAACAGCCAACGATGCATCCTCCATACTGTTACCTACTTCGCGATTATCCCATAGTCAGTGCCACGGGCCTACACAGACGGTGTTTAACTGTATTAAGGCCCGTGCCACATTCTGAGCGCGCAGTTACATTCTCACGAACGGTGCGAGAAATGGATTTCGCCGCGATGAGTCTACGCACAGTGCGGTCGGGCTCAATTATTTGTTATCTGATACCGCTTAGGTCCCAAGTCACAAAAGCGGCGGACTTTCGATTGTTCGCAAAAGTAGAAAAGTAGGACGTTTCAGCCGAGACATTTATCTTAATGATGCCTCATGAATTATCTCATTCATCCCTCAACGGCTAATTCGCGGAAGTTTGCCAAAAGAATACTCACCAAGGCGCGTCATTGGGTCACAATAATACTATTCTTTGTGAAGAAAATTGAAAATTAAAATTAAAATAGGTTACCCATTTACCATTGGATTGGACTTTATGATTTAAAACCAAACTATAAGGTATGGGAAAAGTGGATAATTTAGGAAAGCCTTGCGAAGTAAAAGCTTCACCTATACGAAACATCAGTTATTGTGTGGAACGCACGGGTTTCCGGAATAATAAAAGTGAGGCAATAGGTTAAACCGTCATGAGCGATTTCCTCGAGAGATATTTTAGACAAGAACAGGACGTTTCTGCCTGTTATTAGATTCAGGTCAACGATCAGCAACAGGTGGTTCCGCCGATACGCATGCGGAGGGTTCTGATTTAGCTCATTATCGGATCACATTTGTTCGCAAAAGCATCAAAATTAGTATGAATTAATAGTAAAACGAAAGAATTCATATCCCAGAATTGATTTAAAATATGTGCTGAAGCGGCATGTCGACAAATAATCGAGCGTAGTTGCTCATGATGAGTGTAATTAAACCAGGGAAGAGCTATACGCGGAAATATTAAATTTACATAGCACAGACATAACAGGATCTATAAAATAAGATTGCAAAATATTTTAGAAAGAATAATGGCTCTTTGAATTATACCTTACATTAACACTGGGGTTATATGTACAAGGAACTTCAGACGTCATTAAACACTAAAGTGCAGGAGCTGCATTCTTCGTGCCATGTTAGGATGCGTATAGCTGGTAACCTTCAGAGGCTGTAACCCTGCATACTCTGAGTAGTAAATCGAGGATGCTCGATTGGCCCAGTGGCATACAAAACACTCGTCGAAGAAAAAGATCGTGCTTTTTAGGCCTTATTCTCCACTTTCCGGCGCGCGAGGATCGTGGGAGCTGTAACAAGTGAAAAGAAAGCTTTTTCATTCACTTGACAATCTACTTATCATCTTAATTCAGTTCACGCATTCATTTTAATAACTTTTTAAATAACAGCTGCGGTGCATAATAAAATCAGAGCAGTTCTTCCACTGTGTAATATAACAATTTTTACTGTCACTTTATATACCACCGATGTGTGTAGTTGAAAATAATACATACATAAGATGATGAGAATTTACTTTAGACTGAAATACTGTATGGGAGAACTTTTAACAAATAATATCATCATACGTTTGATAATAGGAAACTTAATTCATTTGTTATATTGGAGAAAAATCTCCAAATTCAAAATAATATACGTTATATGTATATTATAAACAATTGACATCTTGATTTAAACTAAACGATTAACGTGAAAAAATAGAAAATCTATACATATATGTAAGATAAATAAAATACTAGTTATGGCTAAAACGTAAATTAATCGTATGTTTTACATCACTTTCTACTTTCTTCAACAACGTTTCTATTATCGGTCTATTTGATATTAAATAAATTACCTTTCTCGCAAATTACGGGTTCGTAAATTGTACATGTCCGTCAAAATTGTATCAAAAGCTTGCATGAAAATAGCTGTACGACCAACATATTCGTTGATGCTTGACCTTCGATTTCGATAAATTTAAAATTTCATCTATTTCATCCTCCCCATCTTACTACTTTTCCTACATATCTCATTCTTTATCTATCTATCTCACTGAGCGTAAATTCGACTGAATATACGAGTCAACTTGCATTAGGTACTTCCACAAATACATTATTCTGTATTTCTGATAGGTCGAAATGATGATACGCGTCGGTGAGATTTATCTTCTCACTGCGCTTCATGCACTCCATTTAACAATGTGGCAAATACAGTACTATATGTATACTAGATATGTATACTATACATATATTGGATACGCCACTATGTGCGTGCAGAAACGTACGGTTCTACAGCACCGGTTGGAATAATTTTATGCGCATGATGCATTTTACCATAGATGCATTCACGCTCTGTATGTCGTAACACCACTTTACTCCGCCATTATTACTAATTGCTAGAGCCTATAAATATGACGATCTTCACAAAGCGTCAGTTCTGATCGAACATGCTTTGGCGACTCTTCGCGGTTCTGGTATTAGGCGGTTTTATCGCCATTTATTCTTGCGAGCCCGTGAACAGAAAACATCTATTGAAAGTTTCGGGTACGATTGAGTGTGCTAGCAATGAAGGTGACATCTCCAAGTGTAAAACCAATGAATCGGCTGATACTTCTTCGCCAAATAGCGAGAATCAAACGCAATCTAACAGGAAAGCTCGGCAAAAACTCCTAGATGATATCAATGATGTGGGTGAAGGTGAGAATTCTTGCTGATTTTTTTTAAATAAATCTACAAGTTACATAATGTGTGCAACTAAGGAAGTAATAGCATGTTTCATATTTTTTTAGAGTAATTTTAGATTAAGAAAAAAGATGTTAAGTAAAAGATGTTAGATGAATTTTTCTATTAAATAAGAACATATAATTTAAAAATTATATACATATATTTAAGAGTATACTAAATAAAACAAAAACATTTTTTAACTACCTCTTTTTGTTTGCAAAATTATCTTTTAAAATACACTTTTATTTTATCTATTATTTCTAGACTCTTGCATTTAATACCCAATTTCTGAACGGGAAAGTATTCTTTTGATAAAAAGAAGTTGATAGAAAAAACAAAGTTTGCACGACTTTAGTCGACATTTGATTGTCTCTACTAATAATTAAGAAAGTAAATAATTAAATAAATGAATATAATTAAACAGAAATTATATATTTATTTATTACATTTTTACATTGTTTTTCAAAAAAATAATAATTCTTTTATGTACATAAATATGGTATTCTATACGTGAAAGGAAAAGAAGGAATTAAAGATAAAAATGTGTGTTTGCTTGCATATAACATATATATTTATAATAAATATCAATGCCTTTGTTTTTTTCATTACATAATTTAATTAGTAAAAGTTTAAAATTATTTGATAATTTCTTGCTCGTATCATGCAATGCAAATAAAGTTCGAATGGATAATACCCCCAAGTTAAAATTAAAACGAACTAAATTAAAATGATAAATCGGAAAAACTTTTATTCCATATCGATAAATTATCAATAAGTTATCACAATTCATATAATAATGATGATTTGATTAATTTAATAATATAATATAATTAAATTTTTTATTTAAATTAGCTAGTTTAAATACTTGATTAATTGATCAATTAATTTTAAATTTCAGTTTCTGCAAGAAAAAAAGATAAAAAAGGAAAAGGCAGACTAGTTTTTTACATGTTAGCTGCTTTGAAAGCAGCACTGGTTTACGGATTACTACATGGCGTTGCAGCTCTCGCAGGAAAGGCAATAGTGCTTGCTAAAGTAGCTATAGCAATTGCCATTGCCGCAATTGTAAAAAAGAATGGTACGTGGTAGGTAAATCAATTTATAAAAAATTATTATTTCACGTTTGTACATTTTAAAGCCAAGCCTCTATGGTCATAACAAAAGTATTGAAAAAGAATATATGTGCAAACTTATAAAATAAACCTTAAATTAAATCATTTTTGGTTTTATAATAGAATTTATAGCATATCTTTTATATTTGACGGTAATATGTTTTATAATATTTTTTGATAATTCAATTTTAAGTATATTCTGTAAATTTTTGTGATCATAGAAACTTGAAAGGTTAGCTCTTATAAAATAATAATATTTAATGACATAATAACAAACTATTAATTTATATAAAATGATTTAATTAATAAAATTTTTCTTTCAGATTCTGAAAAAGTTTCTTATGAAATAGTGAAACATCCACATACCAGCTACATACAAACCCACAGCTCAAGCGTCGATTATGATCATCGTAGTGATTATAATGATGACCGTAATGATTATCTTTACGAACATCGAAAGCGACGGCAGCTTATATTTTAATATAAATAGGTCATGGAAATAAATAATTATTTATATAATAATTATTTGTAAAGCTACTTATATAAATCTATTTATAAGTTAAAATATTTATAAAGATTTTCTAATTTTATAAAAAAATTTAATATTTCGAAAAATGAACAATAGAAAAACAATTAATTTAAATATATGCACTTTATAAATATAAATATAGTATTTTTTTTTAAATACTATATTTGATTTAAAAAGTTTTTGAATCAAAATTGAAAATTTTTTGTACTGTTAGTTTTAATGAGTGGTTTTATTTAAACGATCTAATGCAAGATCGAAATTTTTAAGTTGTTTAATTTTATATGAGAAACACAATATTGTTAATTTAATATTGTTAATAGAAATATAATATTGTTATTTGTAATATTTATTTGCTTTTATACGTCTTGCCTGGCTCAAGTGCCTATTTATTTATACACATAAAAATTTTTATTATTGCTACTAAATAAAAAAAGATCTATAATTTACATCTTATAATAAAAAATTGTCTGTACATATTTGGATATATATACATTTAAAATTATATATTATAACAATTGTTTATAAATCTTATGTTTAGATACATTATACGAGTACATAAAGTTTAATATACAATATGTAATTATTAAACAGTTTATATAAATCTATAATTTTAACTTATTTTTCCTACACACTTTTAACTTTTATGCAATTATTTATATATTAAGAATGTTCACAGAATTACGTATATCAAGTATATTTTAATGATATTTTACAATTGATATTATTTTAATAATAATATTATATTATCTATACGAAATAATAGAATTAAGTATAAATTAAATAACAACTTAATAATAAATTAAATAAAAAATTAGTATCTCTTTTAAATATATTAAACAAAGATATAATATATATGTTTTTATTTTATATTTCTAATTAATATAAATTAAATATGTTAATGAAAGGTAAAATTTCTAAACTAATAGAAAATTTGAGCCAGAGATTCATATTTACACCTTATTTTTATCGATAAATACATGCATTTATTTATAAAATTCTATATTATTGTAAACTATATGCTAAATTTGTCGAGAAAAGTGTGATGTGTGTGAATACAGACCAAAATATTTATCAAACAATAATATTATGTATTATTTGTTCTTTACAATAGCATATTTTTTGGATAAAAAAAGAAATAATGTACAATAAAATCTTTTTATTAATTAAATATTTAAATAAATAAATAAATAAATAATTAAATAATAAAATTAAAAAAATATTACATTTTTATTATCAGATACATCAAAGAAGATATATTACACACGGTAACTAAATCATAAAACTTTCGAATTTGTAATATATGTGTCGAATATGATTCAGGTTGGAGGAACAACATCCATTGTTCGTTGCCAGCCACCATATCCACCGCCACCACCTCCATGATGTTCCGATGCTGTAGCATAAATCACTTCATGACCACCTCCTCCGCTTGACACTAGTTTTTTCAAGCCAACTATCGCACTTAAAACTAAAGCCATTTTCGCCGTCAGTAAAGCCGTGCCAGCAAGGAAAGCAATTTTTCCATAGGCTAATTGCGCCATCATGCCTAAACAAATAATTTATACTTCCATAAGTAAGATTGGAAGAATCGATTTCTCTCTCTCTCTCTCTCTCTCTCTCTCTAATTGTATGTTTAAATTTTTTTATTTATTTAAAATACTAAAATAAAAAACAAATTAAACAAAAATCATTTTCAATATAGTAAAAGGTAAATTTTATTTGTTACTCTTATCTGATATTGTTTAAAAATATAGTTTGATAGTATAATCTAAAAACTAAATTTTTTTTAGTAAACAAATTGAAATTTTCGTGTTGATTATTGTTTCTTTTTAAATATATAATAATATGTTTTTTCATAGAATATTAATTTTTTAGGAAAAACTTACCTGCTAACACGGCACCTGCTACTATTATGTATCCGAAACCCTTATTCTTTTTTTTTCTTCCTGCAAGTATTGCAAATATTATATTTATTTAAATATTATTATTAAATTTTTTCTCCCTTTGAAAAGTATTTTTTCTTTGCCAAATATCCAAACAAACAAATCGTATATCTTATTTGTGTAAAACAACATCACAGTTATATAAAAATTTTTAATTATAATTGCAATGATTTAGTTAGAAAAACAAAATAGATTTTTAGTGACAACACAATTTATTAATAATCTTAAGGTGCTGTTACCTTCAAAAGCATTTCCCGGTATTGTCAATTTCACGCTTCTCGATGTTAAATACTCATAAAACTTATTATCCAATTTTTGATCGAGACTGAGTTCTGTGCCATTTTCAGATTTCATCGAGTTGTAACTTCTGGCGGTAGATGTTGGATCTTTGGTAATTGAAATATAATCATTGATTTTATATACAGAATCATCTTGAATAGCCGAGTCGAGAATTTCCAAGGCACGCCGTTTGAAACAATTGAAGGTGTTTTTTTCGTTTGCGCACCGTTCAAACAGACTTGTATATTCACTTTTAGCAGTCACTAAATTGCAGAACACCGCGAGATAAAGAAAATGTAAAACCCAAATCATTGAATGCCGCTTATCCATGGTGTGAGCGATAGTATAATATACTCAAACGCGTCGATTCTCTTTCTTTAGGTATCTTCTAACTATCTCTAGTACAACAATCATCAGCTTCTCCTCTGTTACGGTTTACACTGTCCACTCAGCTCGATAAATCCTGCGGACTACTCGTTAGAATCTGGTTGCATTGTGACTTATATAAGTGTGCACCCATTAGCCTCTCCTACCAACGCATTAAGATTCTTGGTATACACGCCCGTACTTGATCCACGCGCTGTTTAACGCCACACAACGGAAGGAAAGACCCCTCAACCAAAACAATGTCGTACAGCCCCGTAAGTAAGTATCCCTCTGACCTGCTTATCAAACGAACCTTAAAACTCCGCCGCGCCAATCGTAGTTAATAACAACGCATCAGGAATGGAATGCAGGTAAAACAGACGATATTCTCCACCCAAACGTGATTATAAGTGCAAACCTCTGCATCAAGAAGTAGAAACAGTTGTAGATTTATCCATCAATTTGCATGCATGACTAACTTTACGTGTTACAGAATAATGTCATGCGGAAATGAGTTTTTAGTATTTCCAACGCTAGTTATTTTTTGTTATTGTTACTATAATACATACATTCAACTTCGATATCTGAACACATGAAATAATCGCTTTAGTACACAATTTTTTGGAAAATTCTCTCATCTTGTTGCATTTAATACATATACGAGTATTCTTTCAATAAAATATTCAATAATTTAAATTAAACAACTTATTTTAGTAAAAAGAGGATAATTGTTAAAATGTAATTACAATTATGTTTAAAACTTATAATTTAACATTATAAGAGTTAAAAAAATGTTAGTATTATAATAAATTGGAAAAAGAGAGTACTTATCTGAAAAATATTCTTTTACAATGTTAATAGAACGAGGAGAAAAAAGACATATGTATGATAAGCGTAAAAATTACATTACGGATTTCATGATTAAATTATTACTCAAGTTGACATAAAATCATCAAATTTTAACATACATAAAACAATATATAACTATATACATAAAACAATATATAACTATATACATAAAACAATATATAACTAATGAAAATTGAGAAACTTATTATTGTACATCTGATATGCTGTTAATCTAGTACAGTTTACGATCCGTGACGAGCTACATTTGGAAAATAACTTGAACAATTTTATAGAAATTACAGTAATGAACTTGATTAACACTGTCCACTACATTTAATGCATTTAAATCTTGCAATTATTTTTTTCAATTCTATAGGCTGTTTGTTATAGTAGTCAAGTTCACTACAGTTCCTCCATTATCTTAAATAAATTCTAACACATTAATTCCAATCACATTGATTGTTATACGAGATCAAGTATTCATTATCCACTTCATTCATTCATCGTCACTTTAATGACATAGTACGAGTAATTATTATCATGAAGAAAGCGTATATACAAACGTAAACTTTTTTTCACGCTCTTATTACAGAATGATACTATCTCAACTATTTCCGTAAATGCCATTTTTTTGTCTGCAAGAGATTCACCTATCCTAAACATTCTTAATTAAAAGTTATCTAATCGATATTGTTTATTTTTTAAATGTATTTTCATCTTCATAATTAATTGAGAACCTTAATGTGCTATACATACGCCTCTTAACACTATTCTACGATATGAACTAATAGTAACACACAAGAAACATGTGTAAAAGAGGAAATAATTAAATGATGATGGACAAAGACTTGTTTAAAAGCTTTCTTTACCGGTTGTTACACCGGTGCAATGCATTCCCACCTTAGTTGTTATACTTGACAGAGGATGCTATGAGCACGTGGTCATATATGTAATCGCATGACCGTAAATAAGATACGATAGTATTTTCCTTTATAGGGAGAGAGAGAGAGAGAGAGAGAAAAGCAAATGTGCGTTTCCCGGATGTAATCATCGTCATTCTTGCCAATGGTAGTAACGTAAGAGCGACGGAGAAAGAGACAACTAGTACAGTTAGGCGACCGAAAGAAAGGACGATGCAATAATGGACTAAGACTAATGGAATCGCTAAGTGAAAACGTCAGAATCTCAGTGACAATTCTAGCTGATGGACAGATACTTGAAACTGAACTTGAAAGTGAATTTGTAATAAAGAACATTATATACAATGCAGACGAAGAAATGGCAGTTGTTCTATCGGCATAAAATATCTCTTCTCTTGCGACTTATTCGTTTTGTCTAAACAATACGAATATGATATATAATATATGTTTATTTGCGAACAAATTACGCAATTGAATAATATAGATGTATCAGTGTTGATAAAAAAATATTTAAAAAAAATTATATTAAACTCTAACTGACGTAATATTATTTGTAATAAGTGTTTTTTAGTGTTTTGCGTTAGCGTCATTATTATTATTAAATTAATTAATGACAATTAATTTAATTTGTGATATTATCGTCAACTTAATTTAGAACTGTATTTTCAAGACTATATATATGTTTTCAATACGGAGTTTGAATTTTATGCTGGAAAATATACAATTTATCTAAACATTCATATAAGAAATATCATCAGATACACCCAGATTTAGCTTTGACTGTATTTGGCATTTCTTTACTTAATTGATTTATTCATATACTTAAACAATTTAATTTAACTTATTAATGATTGTGTGTGTATTTTAAAGTGTTCAATTCAGCTTTTAATAAAGTTATCTATTTAATTATATGACCGATGTATATAATAAAATATAGAAATAATATAATTGTAACATTTGTATAGTGCATTGCAAAATTGTTGTAAAATAACGCGTAATATTAAGACCTAAATTTTTAAGAATCTTATCTCTAAATAATATAAAAGTTGATAAAATATTTCTTATATTTTATCAATAAACTAATTATGTGAATAAATTTTAGAAAAATAATTCTCTCTTTTAAATCTAAAGTAAATATCGAACTTTGGTCATGTGTGATTTTTATGTTGATAATTTATCTAAATTTCTAATTAATATGTTTTAAAGCTTACGATCTCAATCAACTATTTTGAGTCAAAAACAAAATTTCTCGTATTTTGTTTACTTTGTCCCGAATCGCTATTTCCGTCATAAACATTGACAACTTCTCTAATAACATGTTGATCATAAGGACTATAGTCCTGTAAGGGTCTATAAGGTCGTTGCGGGTAATGGTAATCGTAATGGGTGTATACACCACCCGGTGTCTCGTGTCCATAAGTGTGGAAGCCATTAAACGCGTTCGGTGAGTAAGGAGGTACAGCAGGTGCCCCGGAAGAAAGCGTGTTCCATCCTAAAAGACCGATCAGAAACAACGCCATCTTCGTCAATAAGAGGGCCTTCTTGGTCACGATTAACAGGAAACCGAACATAAGCGGGATTAGTGACGCCAGATTAAATTTGAAACCCAACAGAAAAGGCAGTAAAATGTGTCTGGTCAACTGCCTTCCTGAAATGATAGAAATTGACCTTGAATTTGCAACCAGTCCGGTTGTCTTGATAGTGCTGCCTACTGGAGGACGTTCTTCAAACTGGTTGGAAGACATAACGTCTTAACCAGTACAAGAATCACCATGAGGTTTGATTCCGCGCTAAGATAACACGAGTAATTCTGCGTGTAATAACAAGTGTGTACAATTTTTTGAAGAACAAGCTTTTCGTAACTCTTTATTCATTTCATATAATTATTTTTTCACAAATAATTTGAAGTTGCATGTAATTCTTACATTACATAATTTATATAATTTATTAACAAAACACATGTACATAAAGAATACTTATAAAATTTACAATATTAACAAGAATTTTATGTAGAAACGTTTCCATATTTAAACAAAAAGTTTTGCTTTATCTTTATGCAAAATATAAAAATGTAGATTTTACAGCAGAGCAACGATTATACTGTATGTATATGTATGTTAAACAAATTCTTCTTAACGTTGTTTCTAAATTGTAAATAGTAAAAGATATGATATCAAGCTTGAAAATAATCAAATTTGAAATGCTTAATTTTCCAGAATAGATATTATAGCTTACCTGTACCAGTCTGCCTATCGCCGTACGAAGGAACTCGTTCGTTAAGAACAAATTCCAATATTCCGTTTCCGTTTAGCATTGGTCCGATACGCATCTGTAATCCCGGATATATATTATCCAAATTCCACTTGACATTGCGGCGTTCCATCAGTCTGGCAGCTGCCTTTATAACATTTCCGAAATCTTTCGGATCGTAATCCAAATCCAGAAGATCTCTACCGTAGCCCTCCGCTCTGTCAAGTCGCATCTTTCCAAACTCCAAACAATCCTTGTCGTTTAATGACTGCAAGGTACTTAAAATGCCACGATTTACACATTCGAATGTACCATGTTCATTCTTGGTAAGACATGAACCGAGAACTTCGTTGAAGCTATAAGAATGTCCATCGTCTAAAGTAATATGCTCCTTGGGCTCCATAATCACTGTAAAACTCGTAGACACGAGAACGAGCAGACTTAAATAACGGAGTTTGCTTTTCATCTTTAGGTCACCGATCTCTCGCGCGTCGTATAAACGTATTTAGATAAAATTAAACATTAGATAAGGAATTGATAAGAATTAAAATAAATCGAACAAAGAATTTATAAAAACTTTTGCACAGCCGTTTTATTTAAATGTATTCAAAGGCACAAAAAATAGTCCACACTACAGGATAACAGACACTTAATGAACTTGAACTTTTAGAATGCTTTTCACATCTTCGAACTATCATAATTTTGTTTCTTTAATTTTTGAGATTGTAAAAGAAAATCCTATTATACAGTCGAGATGTAGAGTAATGAAGTTCCCGTAAAATACTGTTCATGCTGTTCCTACGATCACCTACCTATATAGGCGACAAGGGGGCGTTCACACACGACAGAACAATTGGTTTCACTCGGAAGATTTTATAAGTAGCGAAAGTATACTTCGTTTGTATTTTGCGCGCACAAAGCTTGGTCGATACACCGGATGCACTGAGAAGGGTAATTTCCTCTGGTCAAAGAATGGAGTGTCGGAAAGATCGTTACATCTTCAAATTGATAGGACAGACTTGATGGCTGAGCAAGGAAAATTGGGAACGCAAGTAGCGCGGATATAATTGCCAAATTTGCGTAAATCTGGAACATACGAGATCTAAAGATAATCATCCACCAAAACATTTAAACTATTGGGTTAAGTTTTTGACGTATTTTCGCAACGTATTTTAAAATCTTTTTTAGCATATTATTATTTTTATTAATTTTCGACAAGTCACTACTTCAAAATTATTTTTAACTCTGTCGTAAAGTTATGTATATTATGGGTCAATTGTAAGCAGAATCATAAGACTTGTAACTTGTTCTTGTAGGAACTTATAACTAGTATCCTAATTTTATGCGTTTGTTTCGTAAGACATATGATTATTCGTTGATATCAATGATTTCTTGTAAATCTTATGGCTAGTAAGAAGCTGTCTGTAAAAATATTGTATAAAAGTATAAGTACTTACAAGTTCTTACAAATCTTATGAGAATATGTTACGAACCTTACGATTCTGTTTCTACATATCTTATAGTTTATCGCTATTGTATTATATGGTACTTTTAGAAAATTCTTATATCAATACAGTCTTATATTAGATAGAATTTGTATTTTTTGTGGTAAAGGATATTTACATGATAATGGAAGAGAAATATTTGGAAAAAATTAAAATTGAGTCAATTTCAAATATTATATAAAAATTACAATTTATTTATAAATAATATGATAAGTTACATGATGATCCCAAAACGGGGTGATCGATATATAAATAATCATTGGATTAAATCTGATGATCCCGTGCGAGTACTGACTACGAGTCGTTCCGCATGCAATAGATACGGAGGATTCTGAAAGGATACCGCACGGGTATGATTGAGGGGACACGACTTGTACTGACAGGATTCCACTATTTAAGAGTCTTTCGAGATTCTCATAATCTCTAAGCACAGTATTCTGTTGATGTCGGTAAAGTGATAAGCTTCGTCGTAGATTTGCCGTAACGTATGTATCGAACCACAACTATCGCGTAGTATCCTTATTGATTGTCAATTACGGCACTGTCGTCGGAGTAGTCGAGTCACCGTACCGTTAAATCCAGTTCACGCAAAATCCAGTAACCGTCCGTATCTAACAGTCCTTTGCCTGTCCATATAGAATTGCGTTCGGTATAGTCGTTGGTGTATCGTAAGATAAACGTCTTTGTTGTCGAGCTGAGCTTGTCCACGGATCCCTGAGAAGTTAAGTCACGTCACCCTCAGGTGATCGATGGATTAGGGACGATCACTTTGGCGAATGTAGATAGAAAATTAGAAGGGAAAGGAATTGTGTATAACTTTGAGCTATTCGGAAGGTTTGTACGCCTTGTATGCGAGATCAGAAGCAACCGATGATCTCGCCCAGCCGTGATGGTCGTGGTGCACTTCGTGTCCATAATCATGAACGGGGTGAGCGACGACCTCGTAACTCTGGCTCTTGTAAGCAAGGAGTTTTTGCAGACCGATGATCAAGCTGATGATGAGAGCGATCTTGCCGACGATAAGGGCTTTGAAAGCTATCAAAGCCAACGCACCAAGGGCAATAGGGATAAGAGCGGCAGCTTTCAGTTTCAGGAGAAGAAGGATGGGTAACAGGGATTTAACGATTTTCTTCTTCTTGCCACGAGCTGAAACATAATTTCGAAATACAAGCTCTTCAATCTATCATTGACAGGTTATAATTTATGAGCGTATCCAAACTCTTTTCATTTATATCTTAAAGTTTCAAATATACGAGCGACGTATTTTACTGTCTAAAAAGTATACAGTGTGAGATAGAACTTTAAGAACATTCTCTTTTCTTTCTCTTTTTCTTCTTCTCTTAAATAGAAAAAAATTAATAAAATTTAATGTTACCTTCATCAAAAGAGCGGGAAACGTCTTCGGGAAGGCTCAACTCAACAGTATGCGTGGATAAGAATTTGGCGGCTCTGTCGACGATGGCCTGATCAATTGCAGCTTCCTTGGCTTCGGTCTCAACGGGTAAAGTACTTTCAATGTCATTAAGAGACCTTGCGTTGTCAGCTCGGCTGAAAAGACAAAAATGCATTCATTATATTTGCGCATATACATATCATACGTATCGAGCTATCTTAAACTTCGTTAACAACTTTCTGTGCTAATTTTACTGGACATTGTACAGTCAAATAGAATCAAGTGGCATTCAATTTATACACATATATTTATCGATTACAACAGTAATTAAGTGAAAGAGTAAAAAATTAATTCTCTAAATAATTTATTAATAATATAAATTTACGAGTTTTTTTTTTCACTTTTCGTCTCTTTTCTCTTCTTTAGAATTTATACTCTTTATAATTATACTTAAAGCAAACTTGTGTCTAAAAATTGTCGAATATTACGAAATAATTAAGCACAATAGTCAAATAGTGATAGTTTTTTGTTTAGCTTATGTTATATAAATAAATTCATGCACTTTAGCCAAAAGCAAAGAATACATGTTAAATGTAAAATAATTCATGTGTTTATTATACGATTCAATCACCTGGTTCCTTTTTTTTTTCACGGTCCAGTTTCATTCAATGTCGACCAGCATATGATTTGATGGTCGGTTATGTACCGATCACTATCTCGTCTCCTCCAGTACATCCCCGCGATTGCTTACCTATTTTTGGCGTCTTCAGTCTGTACAATCTTGAATCCGTCAATGATCTCGATGTCGGCCGAGCGAGCGGCACGGTCGACGTAACGCAGAGCCTTCATCTTGAGACACACCGCAATACTCGATTCCCCGGAACAGGAAGCGTACACGTCGAGAGCTTCCTCGAGGATCGAGGGTGGCGGTGCCGTCCCCGCATCCTGTGTCGCCGGTGCAGCGAGAGTGGATACCACGAAGAGTGCGCCGACTACCGCGAATTTGAACATCTTGATGGATCTTCCAGACAGGGCGAAGGAAACACCGAATCGAATCAATTACTCCAACTTCTCAAAACTTGTCTTCACTTCTTCTCCTTCTCTTCCTCGCGCTTTCTCGTCGATCTCGATTCTGTTTTTTCTCGCACGTGAACGCTCGAACGAGTACGGCGATCGTATCGATACTGCCCGAAAGAATCACGATTGCTGCCTTTTATCCTCGTCGCGAAAGGGGCCCGCGTACGTTTTTGAAATTTTGATGGCCCCCACCGGGTGGCCCCCGCCTGCTGCCGGGTTACAACCCATACGAGCTATTGGTTCTCCTCCAGGCGGTCGTTTGTGTCGTGTACGTCTCACGTTGACGCGCCTCCACACCGGTCCTTCTCCACCGGTTCTCCTCTCCGTGTGTACCTGTGTGCCTACTTAGGTCGTTTGTGTACACAACGGGTGTGTGACTGTCGACAAACCCGCCCCGTACGTGTGCGTATTGCGCATACAGACGCACATTCGCGAGAGGAAGAAAACGAGGAAGAAAGGAGAAAGAGAGAGAGAGAGAGAGAGAGAGAGAGAGAGAGAGAGAGAGAGAGAGAGAGAG